TTATTTGATTTTCATAGTTGTGCTACTATTCTGAATATATTAAATTTCAACTACTGACTGCGCCTTTAAGGGATTTAAAGCACAGAACTGTAAGAATTCTACTTCTCCCACTAAGGACCTAAGGATCAGTAGTAACGTGAATGGTGCTGTAAAACCAGAAACAAGAAAAGTGAGCGGCGGAAAATGGCACAATGTTTTCCATAAAAGCTCCCGAGAGCAAAGCATATAAATTTTCATCTTGCCAGCATCATGAAGTAAGACTCAGAAGGTCAAATTATGAGTATGGTCCTAATGAGTGATTGGGATCAAATAACAGGAAGAGACTACTCTGTCATAGCATACTAAATTAAATTAGTATCGGCTTTACAATAAACACACAGACATAATAATGTGACAAGGATTTCAGGCGTGTATCTCTGTTCTGCCAGCTAGTACCTATCCCCATCTACTGAGCTTTCCAGGAAGGCAACCTTGTACTCTCACCTTTATGGCTTAATGGCTAGTTTCTCTAGGTGGGAAGTATACTTTATTGATTATTAGCTTTCTTTAACAGAAAGTGTTTCACTGTAGCTCTGCATTATTTTTGTAATCAATCACCAAAAAACAACTTTTTGAAGTCTGTGTATCTAATATATCCTGCCAAAATGGTTGTATCAGTTCTTAGTAAAAATAATGTAAGCTGCTATATTAAACTAACATGTGATCTTATAAATTACAGGAGTAATATTAAAGATATTCACTTAAATCTGTATATATCCAGTGATGTGTCCAGTTTACATAAAGTATTTCTATAACATTTATTCAGTCACTGGATTCTTCCACAAATCTTCACTGAACATTTATCAGCCAGGCCTTGATTCTTGAAGAAATCTGCATTGCACAAGTATTAGCCAAGCCTTGATAAATGATGAAGAGCCAAAGGTAGACAAGAAAAAGTCTTTCATCTCCTGGAGTTCACCAAATACAGTATATTGCACCCTATAGTCTAGTACCACAAAATAATGGGATTATTATAGAAATAATTTATATATCTCTTCTCTATGAATGAATTAATATGTATAATCTCTTCTACGTTTATTATTGATGGATCAGAATGTACACACAGATCCCAAGTTAAGGAACGCAGATAAAGGACAAAATGGTTTTAAGGTTGAGGATCTAACATCTATTCTATGAATCTTTATGATCTTTTTTTAGCTTCTTGAAATTCTACTACCTTAAATTTCAAACATGGGTAAGTATTGAGAAAAAAAAATCATCTTTATTGATTTTGTTAACTATCTCCAAGGCCCTGTGATGTCTTGAGAAAACCTCAGAACCAAGCCTTATGATAACCACTTTTGAAAGACATACCACTCTATCTAAATGAAACCTATATACTTATAGCACAAAGCGTGATGTAGGCATATAATAAAAGGGTCACTTTAGATAAGTGAGGTATCTAGATGTCCACACTCCAGAGACATAGTAATGGTGTACAATCTTCAATTTACTTATAAGTCCATGTTACTAATATTTATACACTTCATAGAAAGTAGCAACTTTATTCTTAATACATCTCAGTCTGTCTCTGATTTCACCTCAAAACTGGGATTATTCGGTTAGCACCTAATCACTCTAAATATAATTTATGCAGTTTTCTTTCATATGTTTCTCTCTAAGCATCATTTAGCAAAAAATACTAAATAATTAAGAGTTTTTCTAAAGTTTTATTTCTTACTAATTTTTGTGATTCTTTCTGTAATTTATGTAATAATCTGTACTGCAAAATAAACAAGTATTTTAATGGTATCTTTTTTCACCAAGAGTTTGTATTTCAACCATTAAAATGTATTTAATAGTTTCAGCATGTGAAAAGTAGAGTTATTTTCATGAAAAAAACATGCAAAATCAGGTATACAAGTTTGCTTTTGTGCTTTACGTGTACAGAACTAAGAATGCAAAGTTTTGTGGAGGAACTAAATTACAGACAGGATCAATGTTTCTATGTGAGTGAAGTTTCATGACCACTTTCTTAACTGGAGAACAGAAGGAGGAGAACCAGCCATGCATAGATTACGGAAACCTCAGCATATACAGAAAGCAGCCAAACTCACGGATTTGTGGACTTGTACAAGGCAGCCCAAGGAGTCTGTTTGGCCTGCTGGTAGCTATTGTCAGGAGCAGTAACCTAGGAAGTGGTTACATGCATCAGGCTTGGGCCAGGGCAAAGAGAGGAGAGAGACTCCCTTGGCAATACCCAATCATTTTTTTCTTTTCTCTTTTCATTATTTTAAAGAGAAAAAAATTAATACATTGTGCATTGTTATATTCATAGTAGTTACTCAGAGCATAAGATATAGGCATAAAATATTGTCCAAACAATATTAGCACCAAAAAAAAGCTTTCTTTTCAATGAGGTTTCACTGCACCAAAGGCTGCAGACAGAGGAGGAAGACTGAGAGATTTCCCCTTGAGGCTTGGAGAGATTGAAAGAAGTAAATTTTGGAAGACATAAAATTGTGGTAGCAGGATTATCTAAAATGTGGCATAGGGGATAAGGAATATCAGCGAAGGTGAGTTCCAAACCTGATGAAAGCACAGCCCTGATCCTGCTCTCAAGACACCTGAAACAAGTAGCAAACTCAAATGAAACACAACTCAGATCAGTCCCAACTCAACTAGAGACCACATTGAAAAGAATAAACACTCCAGACAAGTTGTCAGGAAAAGAAAGGGGTGGCTTTTTCTTGGGTATATATTATTTACTTCAGTGTCTAGCATCCTTTCTTACTCATATATCACAAAATATTTTTTAAGAATGCTGAAAAATAGCAGAGTATAGTGGCATAATAAATTTTTTTCCTTAGGTGAGATCTTATGGTGATATTATGAGTATTAACAAAGATGGTATCTACACAGCTCTTAACACAATCCTTGGAACATAAAAAGCACTCAAGGCATGCTTTCGTTTCTCTGTTAGGTTAGTCTGTCCTTCCATAGGGCCTTCTGGTCTTTTCATTATAGACTCATTTACTGAGGATCATGGCCACTGCTGCATCTATTATTCCTATATAGACGGTTCTTAAATAAGAACTCTAATCACCAACCTCTTTCTTGTTTATTAGTTACCCCTACTCATTTTGCTCAGTGTTTTACTTGGAAGCATTGTTGTTTTAAATTCAACATGAATAATACAAAGTTCTGGTTTTTCCTCAAAATTTCCTACACTCAATTCTATGTCTCTACTCATTCAATGAAGCTTGAAATACTCAACTAGAACTTAACCTCATCCTTTCTTTCTATATATAGCCTACATTTTAGGAAATATTATTTGATTCATTCAATGAATTAACAAATACTTGCTCAGTACTAAATGCCAAATTATATTCTATACACTTGGGATATGGCAGTAAGCAAGACAGACAAAGTGTACAATTTGTTCCATTCTAATATCTGGATGACCACTTTGCACTTCAACTCTAGCAATTTCATCCTCCTGCTTCGTTTTGCACCTTCCAGTCTTTTCTACATGTTACCACCACATGGATTTGCCTTAACACTATATGATTATGGTCCTCATCTGCTCAAAACTTTTGGTAGCTGACCACTGCCTATTCAATACAAATTAAGATCATTAAACTGATAGAGACTTTAGCCATTTGGTTCTATCCTTCACATAAATACAAAGATATAATGTTACTATAATAGATAAGACAGAGATTTAGGGGACCTTGATTGGCCTAAATCAAAATGATAATCTTACGAAGGAAAATATAAACTGATAAACATACACCAAAACTGTAGTGTCTTCTTCAGCTTACAGAAATCAGTGTTTTTACTGCTTGTGGTGCTATCCTATTCTACCTGAGACTTGTATTTCTGTATTTCATCACTATGTTACTTCTCAAATTTAACAGTCTTTTGTGGGTGATTTTTATCATATAAGGCTGTAAGTTTCTAAATTTTCTAAACTCTTCCAGGATCTTACATGAAATATATAATACATAGCACATAGTGCTAATGATCAATTGGCTTCTGTTATGGCTTGTGTCTAAATGTCCTCCCCAAAGTTCACGCCGTCACAGGTGGGGCTTTTTCGAAGGTGGTTGATCTACAGTATGATGCTGGGAGTAAGGGGTGTGATGATTGAATTAGTCTACTGACTGGTTTGCCATAGTTCTGGGTAGGATTAAGGGTGCCCCATCTGAGGTGTAAGTACTATCTGCCCTAACACTGGTAGACTGGATAAGATATAAGGGACAGAAAGAGGGTCTCTGGTCCCTTGATACGTGCTACCTTTTGCCATGTGCCACCCTGCCCTGGAGCCAGCCAACTATGAACTGAAACTCCTACAAATTGTGAGCCACATAAACCTTTCTTCCTTTAACTTTGAGTATTGGGTATTACTTTCCCATGGTTTAATTACTCTTGCATGTTCCACATAAAAAGCCTGACTAATGTAATATGTACTAACAAGAAACAAACACCACAGAATGGTTGTAGTCAGGGTTTACAAGAGAAATAATTTAATATAGAACACAATATATAGGACTATTTTATAATAGTCACCCGAAAAGTCCAATACAAAGGAGTGCAGGAAACTGTCTATACACTAAGGACCCAAAGAATCCAGCTGAGGGCCTGGATCCCAGGGCAATGCCTTGCATTAGTCTAGCTAAAGACCTAGAGCCTATAACAATGCCCCCCTCGAGTCCAACTGGAAACCAAGAGCAGATGGCCACTGGATAAGATAATACACTTGCTATTTTCTAGTTTGCCTAGTCATGAAATATGTTACTATTTTCTAACCAGTTATATTGTTTTAATAAAATAATCAGAAAAAAAAAAACCCAATCAGATTGCTTTTACTTATTTCATAGTGATATGAGAAATGAAACTAAATCAGTACCGTTTTGGTCTAGCGCCATTTTAAAGCTTCAGTTTCTATTTCCTTAAGTTTCTATTTCCTGTAAATGTGACAGTTGCCTAACCCCATACTACCCAATGTAATGGAAAGTACCATTTGTTCCCCCTTCTGTTTAAGGAAAAAATCGAGCGCCTCTTGGACCCAGAACCAGACCTGGAACCAGATATGTATAAAAGCCGTATCCTTCTGCCCTTGGGGGTTTGCGCCCGGGTCCTTGCTGGGTACTGACTGCCTGCTTATAAGCTTGCTTGTCTCTGCACTTGGCCTCCCACAGGTGAGTTTTTAAGAAAAGATGCACTTATCACAACAATAACATAATTTTAATTGCATAACATGTTCAATGATTCCTATGATCTAAATTGTGTTATATGCTCTTTTAGACAAAATTTTTAGGGAAGAATTTTAATTTGCTATCTATTAACTGCTATCTAAAGGTAAGCTTTTAAAACAACTGAACCCTATCTCTGAACCCAGGAGGCTTTTGGGGCGCATTACAAATCTAAACCATAATATTCACAATCATAATAATGGCACTTGAACACTTGATTTTTTTAAATGAAAATGTTAAGGGTATTATGATTCTTCTGTTTGACTTAATCTTTTAACCCCCTTAAAAGAGTCAAATGGCATTAACTGAAAATTTCTTATTAAATCAACATTTTTCTTCTTTAAAACCAACTTCATTTATCTGTTGGTCACTTTACAATTTCACATTTTACAATTTTATAATTGAAGACAAAAGTTTTTCTAGATTCTTTACATTGTGCCCAGGTGACAGTCCCCTCTGGAAGGAAACTCTTAAAACTAACTTTAGAAGAAAGTCTAAGAACTCTTTAGTGGCCTGCTCATTGCAGAACAGAAGGAAATGGTCACAGTGATAGTCCAGCTTCTGCTGTTTCCTCATATGCCAAGGCAGCATATTGGAATAGCATGCCCAGAGCCTTATCAGAGCCAATGACTAACTGAATGGAGGAGTGAAGAAGTTTAAAAGTAAGAAAATTACCAACTTTATGCAATGGGAATTTTTATATTTCAAGTCTGTGATAATCTTCCTTAGGGTTCCATGTTACTATATTTTCTAAGTTGTTTTTCTGTTTCTCCAATTCCTTTTCCTTCTCCTTATAATATACTGTCTCTTAATGTATTTTGTCCTTGTTTCCACGGAAGCACCTCAGATGGCTTCAACCATGATGTTGATGTAATTCTGCCGCTGCTAATGCTCATATACCACTACAAATTACAAACTATTTGCCTTATGGCTTAAGGGCAAGGAATGAGTCCAGCCTGGGCAACTTAGTGATCTTATTTAATCCTCTAAATGACTTTTAATAATAAAACTAGCTGGGCATGGTGGTGTAACCCTGTAATCCCAGCACTCGGGAGGCTAAAGCAGGAAGGTCACTGAGAGTTTGAGGCCAGCCTGGGCTAAAAAGTGAGTTCAAGCAGAGCCTGAAGTGCAGAGTGAAATCCTGTCTCAGAAAGACAAAAATAAATAAATAAATAAGTGAATGAACGAATGATAAACTATACAGGCTCTGAAATCACGTAGGTGTAAGCTTAAATTCTAGTTCTGTTACTCTCTTCATCAAAAGCATTATGATTTACATCAAAAATGTCTTCCCAAGATCTCATGTTTTCAGAGATGTGGCTTTTGGATGGTGACTGGATCACAAGAGTGCTATATTCATCAGAGGATTAATACAGCCATGATTTTGTAGCACTACGCGCTGTTAGCAGGTGGGGTGTGGATGACGGAGGTATGTCACCGTGTGAGTGATCTGGAAGGGTGTAATCTTATTCCCAGCTCTTCCTTTCTCTTCTCTCCCTCTGACTTCTTGGTGCAACGAACTGAATAAGCTTTCTTCCAACATTTCCTTCAACTACATGAACTGAATCCTCTAAAACTAAGAGTCAGACTAAACATGTCCTCTTTTAAGTTTTATGTGTCAGATGTTTTGTCTCAGCAATGGAAAGGCGACTAATACAGACAAATGGAATCACAGAAGAAGTGACGATTGTAAGACTATAATGATCACGTAGTTCAGAGACCTTTGGAACTGTTTGTGGGAGAAGTAGGAAAAGTTTGGAGATGTAGGCTATATAAGCCTGAAAGTATTTTAAGCAGAGGATGACAGGCAGTTATGGTTGGAGTTCGAAAGACCAAAATGCGGATGAGCATGTAGAAAATAAAGGCCAGGCTCATGAGGTTTCAGATGGAAATGAGGACATGATTAGAAATTAGACTATGAGCCTTTCATGTGCAATTCTTACAAATAACTTGTCTATGATTTGCCTTAAGTCTTTGTATAGAACTGACTAAAGGTGCTGGACTGCGCTGGCAAAAGAAAATTTTACAGCATATTGTGGCACGGATACTGCTGGCTGTGTTTATTCAACTATATGCTGAAAACCACAGGTAAAAGGAAGAGCTGAATGTTTCAAATACTATGTTAAATAGAAAGGTGGCAGTGTACATCCTTGTCTTGTTCCTGATTTTAGTGGGAATGCTTTTAGCTCTTCCCCAGTTAGTATGGTGGTGCTACTGGTTGTTCAAAAATAGCTTTTATCAGTACAAACTCCTGAGTACTATTCCCGTACCAAAAAAAAAAAAGCTTTTCCTATATTCAGATATGGTTATCCTATACCTATTTTCTTTATGGTTTTTAATCATGAAGGATTGTTAGATTTTGTCAAAAGCCTTTTCTGCATCTACTGATATGACATATGGTTTTTTCCCTCACTCCTTTTCATGTGGTATTTTAAATTTACTGACTTGCACATGCTGAACCACTCCAGCATCTCTAGAATGAAACTTAATCATAGTATATGATCTTTTCGATAATGTGCTGCATTTTATTTGCTAATACCTTGCTGAGGACTTTCACATTTATTTTCATTAAGGAGATTGGCCTATAGCAGTGGTTGTGAACCTATGGTATGGGTGCTGCAGCTTTCTCTGTTATCAAGGAAAGTTCTAAAAGGTTTGTCAGCACAGGCCTATAATTTTCTTTTCTATTCGGGTCTTATTTGGTTTTGGGTGATCTGGGGATATTGGCTTCCACAAATGAATTTGGGAGCACTATATCCGCCCCCTCCCCCATTTTTTAAAGAGCTTAAAGAGTTTGTGATAGAACATCCTCAAAGATTTTTATAGGATTCAGCAGTGAATCCATCAGGTTTTGGGCTTTTCTTGTTAGTAGATTCTTTATTAATGTGACAATTTCATTGATTATTATTGGGTTTTCAAGCATATTTATGTATTACTGGGTTAGTTTTAGTAGTTTTTATGTAACAAGGAATCTGTCCATTTCTTCAAAATTTGCTAATTTGTTGAAATAAAATTTTTCAAAGTAGTTACTATCTTTTGAATTTTGATGATGTCTGCTGTGATTTCACCTTTTTCATTTCTAATTGCATTGATATTAGTCTTTTCTCTCTTTTGGTGATTCTGGCTAAGTGTTTATTTTTTTCACTTTTTTAATTGTAAAGACAATAATAAAAAACAGTAAAAACAATATAGAATTTCAAAACAAGATGACAGGAAATTAACCATGGTTATTATAATGCATATTGCTATCTTCAAAGAAGTTGCTCAGATAACCAGATATAGGCATGAAAGATTGATCAAACAGTATAAACACTAACTGTTCCTTTCAATGAACTAATAAAATTTGGTAGTACAATTATATTCGCTATCGTGTGTGTGTGTGTGTGTGTGTGTGTGTGTGTGTGTATACATATATATATTCCTTCTTTTCTCCTTTCCCCCATCCCAGTTATTCTTTACTTTTTGGGCAGTTTCTTTTCCTTTCATAATGTCTATTGTACTATGTATCTGTTTTATTTATTCTGGACGCTTATCTCTTACCATAAACTAAATTAAAATCAAAATAGATCAAAGATCTAAACATTAAAACCGAAACATTAAGCCCACCAGAAAATAAAAAAGGTAAAACACTTGAAGGCATCAGTGTAGGAAAGTGTTTTCTAAAGATAACTCAACTATACAAGACATAACTGCAAGAATCAACAAATGAAATTATATTGGACTAAAAAGAGAAACAAACAGACACTTCCACTGAAAAATATAAACTGGTCAACAAATATATGAGAAAATGTTCATCATTTTTTCAAAATGCAAATTAAAAACAATGCTAAGATTCCATCTTACTCCAGAAAGAGTGGCAGTCATTAAGAAATCAAATGATAACAAATGCTGATGAGGCTGTAATGAAAAAGAAACCGTCCTTCACTGTTTGTCAGAATGTAAACTATTACAGCCACTATGGAAATCAGTATGGAGATTTACCAAAGAACTGAAATTAGAAATTCCATATGATCCAGATCCCTGCTACTAGGTATCTTCCCCAAAGAACTTATGCTTCAGGCTATAGAGATGCATGCACACCAATGCTTACAGCAGCATAATTCATAGCAGTTATGCCCTGGAAGAAGCTGGTATATCCATCAATAGATAATTAGCAAAAGATAATGTGTCTATATATAGTGGAATACTACTTGGCTAAAAAAGTCTGAAAAAGTTGAAACATTTGTAGGAAAACAATGTTGAATGAAATAAATGAGACACAAAAGCTTAAATACCGTATGGTATCTCTCACTTGAGTGAGACAAAGTACGAACAAAGAGGATGATAAAGAATGGATAGAAGGGAACAAGGAGATGGATCTCTTGCAATAGGGAAGGGGTCTAACAGAACAAGAGCAAGGGGGTGAGGTGGAGACGAAGGGGAAATGAGTAGAATAAAGATATATCATCATGTACAGGAACATAAAAACCCCAATTAATGTAACATTATATGCCATAACATGAGCTAAGACTAATAATATCAGCAGGAATCAAAGGATAGGGGAACCAGAGGCGGAAGGAGGGAGGAGGAGAGAAGGGGCAGGAGATTGAAAAAAAAAAAAAGGAACAAGCTACAGTATGTACATGTAATCACTCCCCAAGACAACTGTAAACTGCATGAACTGCAAACCTATGCTAATAAAATAAAAAAAGAAAGAAAACTACTGTGAATGAAGTAAGAAATAAATTGCTGTGTGTTAACATTTATTGAGCACTCACTTTTTGGAAGTTCATATATACATACACATACATACATGTATAACTAGTATGCTGTGTGTAAGGCAGAGAAAAAGAAGACGCTATAACTGGCTACCAAAATTTCTAGTTACTCTGCAGAAAAATAATTTTTGTTCAAAATATGTAATTATTTATTGATATTCTTTCCTCCTAGGTAAGGCAATTTTTATGATACTGAGAAGCTACTTGTCCAAATCATCTATGACAACCATAGTGAGGTCTTACAGCACAATGTCTATATTCTATCCTCTTCTCTCCACTCCTTTAACTCTCATTACATGTAACATATGTCCTCTGTAACATTTTACTTTTTTTTCTATTTTCCAACCTGCTTTTCCTGTGCTTCAGTCTGCCTATTTCACATCATCATATTTTGTGGTCATTAACTATTTATATAGCTATATCTAACCTACTAGTAAACTCATGCATTATGTTTTTAATTTTTGGTATTATATTTTTAATTTCTACAATTCTGTTTGCTTTTTTAAATAAATACTTCCAAGGTAAAATATATCTTACCCAATTTACTAAGCATATTATCAAAATTATTTTAAAGTCTCAAGCTGATAAATAAATTTTATAGATATCCTTTAGGACTTTCTATTCTCTAGTTTTCAGTTAACTCATCAGGTCTTCTGATATGCTTGGTAATTTCTGACTGCCTACTAAAAAGTGTAAGCAAAATATTTTTGAGGTTATTTAAGGGTCTGATTCATGTTTTTTCTAGAGAGAAACAGACAACATGAATAGGATCAAATCATTTTATTTCAGTCTGGAAGAGATGGATCTAAGTACCTGTGAGACTAGTATTTGAGCTAGACTATTTCTGGTTTAATTTTACTCCTAAAATACAGCCCAGTCAGGAGTTCAGCTAAAAACTAGGCAGATTAGCAGAACTATTCCCCTTTGGTTCTCCTTGAATGCTAACTTTTGCTTCTCTGATTCTAGAAAACTGCGGAAAGCCTAATCTTCTTTTTAAAAAGTTTTGTTCATGTTTTTATTAGTATACACTTACCAACATAGTGATTGCATTCGGCTTTGGGGATTGGTACATACACACACTTCATCTTGATCATTCTTACTCACCCTTCCCCTCTACTTCCTTACCCTGATTCCTTTCCCATCTCTACAGAGTCTACCTGTTTCTTAACATCTCTCTTATATATTGCTCTTTAAATTATTTATATTTTGGGTCTTTGATTAGAGAAACCATATGATACTTAACTTCAGTTGGAGTTTTCTCCTTAGCATCTATATATTTCTGCATCATTTTTGAATTAGAATATACTTTCAAGAGAAAAGAGGCAATGCTGAGGAGTTGTTTCCTCTGGAATTCCTATCTCTCATACTATCAGAGCCTTTGGAATTCTGTAATGCCTTCAAACGCTGTCTTTATTTCATACAACTTTTCTAGTGATTTGTGGGCAAGTTCATCTGAAAGTAGTCATTCCACCGAACCTAGAAATGAATGTCTTCAATATTTATTAAAACTTAGAACCATATAAACTCTGAGATCTAGCACATTCACTTCTGGAATTTAATCCCATATATACACTCATAATATGGCCCAGAACATATGTACAATCACTTTTAAGGAAGGATTACTTATAGCAGCAAAAAATATTAAAGAAACCAATAAACAATTAAAGTCCATCAATACACAGGTTCAATATATTATAGCATGTCCACATAATGAAAATGACTGGAAACAAATGGTATGAATTTCTGTGTGCTAAAATGGAAGACAAAATAATATGCATGGTATGTGTCAAATGAGGTAAAAATTGATAACCAGATGCACATATATTTGCTTATGTAAACATGTTTCTGAAGAGCTACTGAATGGAAAGGAGTAGTGACTGGGAAAGGCAGAAAACTGGATCTTTCTTTACCATTTTATAGTGCTTGAGTTTATTATTCACATATTTCATGCCTTAATTTTATAAAAACACTAAGAGAAAATTAAAATATAGCATGATAAATGCTGTACACAATAAGGCAAAGAGAAAATGTGGCTCAAATGAAGCTTATTTAAGCAAGAAAATCTCATAGTAGTGAACTTGGAGTTTAGACCTTAAGCATTTAACAAGTGAGATTATGCATGCAGAGAACAGAAACATCAGTAGTTCAAAACTGATGAAGCATAGGTTATAAGAGTAGATTACCTAGCGTATAAGCTTTATTTTCCTCCAAGGACACACTGTGTCAAAGTAAAGTGTTTATTTTATTTTGGCACAATGAAGAACAGCTAAAAAATTTGTATATGTTTCTGTTTAGATCTAAAATGTCCTGTGAAAGTCTCATATATTCAGAGGTGGGGCTCTGGGAAACTGACTGGATCATTTGGACCTCAGCCTCATCAGATTAACCCACTGCTGAGCTCATAACTATATATGTTGTCAGCATGTGGGGACTGGGTGAAAGAGGCAGATCACTGGACATGTGACATGAAAGGGTATACTCTTGTTCCTGGCTCTTCCCTTTGCTTTCTGCTTTCTGGCTGCCATGAGTTGAGCAGTTTTCACTTGTTAGACCCTTTCATCACGCTGACCATGGACTGAATTCACTGAAACTGTGAATAAACCTCTCCTTCTTTAAATTGTGGTGTCAGGTATTTTGATCCAGCAATGGGAAAGCTGCTTAATAGAGTATGACATGAACACCTTTCTATTTCCTGTACATCATGATGGTGATACAATGAACAATGGATTGACAAGAGGCAAGAAAAGGAAGAGAAACATTTGAGTTAGAAGAATGTTTCAATAACTGAAAGGAAACTAGTGTTTTGACAGTGAGGATAAAAGGGCCAAGATTACTATAGGAGCAAGGCTAAGGATGGAACTACACATAAGGAGTAGAATATGTAGGGAAAGACTTGCTTATCCCTCAGGAAACTAACTGTTTTCAGTTATCATGAATAAAAGCAAAGAGTAACAGTTTCAGAATACATATACTCTTTCACAGAAATAGGACATCAAATGTCTCAGGATAGATAAGCCAGAAGATGGTAACACTAAATTAGTGAATTACTTAGTACTTGTTCAAAGGTCATACCTCTGATCCTTCTGAAATGAAATTTGTGTTTCTGGAAGAGTGAATGTATTTTAAGAAGATTTCTAGTGAACTGCATCCTCAAGTCTGTAACCAACTATGATAGACTGTAAACTCCTCAAGAAGAATATCATTTTATTAATTCACACATACTAAATGCTCACCATAGCCTCTGTCACATACCAGACCCTTTAAAAATGTCAAGTAATTTAAAGATGAGATAAATGGGTGGGTAGATGGACAGGTGGAAAAGCAACTAACGAAAAGAACTAGTATCTGGCAAAATTATCATGAGATTACCAGTACATTCTAATGGGTATGGAAGTCAAAATATATGTGAATAAATATATAAGATAAACTGGAGAGATCTGTTTCACTTGGCTAGTTGAGGAGAACTTCTTTGAGGAAGTTACATTTGAGATGTCACTGAAATGACAAGAGATATCATTTGATGGTCTGAGGAAAATCTGTCCAGAAGAGTTAAATTCTCAAGAGAAAAAGGGTGACAAATAAACTTAAGCAATTAAAGAGGTTCATGTGATTATGGCTCAGTGAACAAGACAGAGATTGGTAGATGATGAGTTTGAAAAACTGTTAGGATGCTGATCATGCAGGGTCTTATAGGTTGTGATCTCTTAGAAGTTTAGATGTTATTTGAATTGCAATGAGAACCATTTAAATTTTAAACTAAGTAAGTGTATCATCTGATTTACACTTTAAAAGTAGCCCTGTGGCATCTGTATGAATGATGGGTCACGGCAGGGCAACAGAAGTAAGCAGACCAGTTAGGGGGTGATGCAGTATGCCACAGGAGATGATTATGTTCTGATGGTAGCAGTAAAGATAGTGAGAAATGCTTGAATTTGGAATATATTCTGGAGACAGAGGAGAAAAGATCATTTTAATGGGTCATATACAGGAGATGAAGGAAAGCGTCCAAAGAATTTGGAATTTGGCCTATAGCAATGAGAACTCATTTGAAGTTTTAAGTGACAATACAGTAAAACATATTAAAACAATTACTCTGAAGAGGTGGGCAAAATGAATTCTTTGAGAAATGAAATAGAAGATTGAGGCAAATTTGGAGGTATCAGTAATACCACAGGCCTGAAGTGACAGGCACCTGAATTAAGGTGATGACAAAGGGAATGACAAAAAAGGAATAGATATAAAGGCCATAGTGAGTAGGTAGGGATTTAATTTGCAGTCCCCCTGAGCACTGGAGCTCTGCAGAGAAATATGACCTATAAAGGAGTCCTGAGAATAGACCTAATAATGAAAACCATGTGGATGCCTGAGATAATCCAGAAAAGAGTTAGAGGGAAAATGGAGCCTCAACTAGGAAATGGCAAAAGAAACCAAGAGTGACCCAAACAAAAGGAGAAAAAGTAGGGAAGAGTGGCAACAAACGTGTGAAGAAAAACATTTCTAGGAGTGTTTGCAACTGACAAAGACTAGTATCTATTGAGTTTGGTAAAGCGGACATCATGGGAGATCTTGCTCAAACCTGTCCTATCTGGAAATGGAAGGAGAAGTTAGACTCGAGGTACATGAGGCATCTGAACCGACGAAGTATAGCAAAGAATACAGATGACATCCCTACATTTTTGTGTGTTTGAAGCAAGGATAAAGGAAGTAACCAGGGTAAGAATTAGTTTACATGAAGGGAATTTTTAGGATGGCAGAGGCTATACCATGTTTCAATCTCGATGTGAATGAGACAAAATGACAGAGTGGTGGGGTGGGTCTCTGAAAGTAGGTTCAGAAGAGATGTAACATGCACAGGGAGGGATTTAGCCATATATAGGAGAGAGAATACTTCCAGTTTCAAGAAGCAAAGACAGGTGTGGGAACAGGTAAGTTAGGAGTGGTGTTGGGAGGCAGAGGAATTTCCATATGTGATGCCCGTTTTTTTTGTTTGTTTGTGAAGAAGTCAAATCTTCCACTCAAAATGAGCGGGAGTGTAAAGGTATTTTCAATTTGAGTACACCAAAAATGGTGCAAGAGAGCCACTATAAAGAATAGGTACAAATACTTGTGGGAGAATGTAAGAAGGACAGGCCATGATGAGGAACTAGATAAAGCTGAATAAATAATACTTAAATTTTTGTGTATGAATATTGGTAATTCATAATCAACTTCTTGTGTAGGCAAAATGTGGGTAATTTTGTTTCTGTTTTTGAAATAGGGTCTCTATGTATTTTAGGTTGACCTGGAACTTACTTAGTAGGCCAAACTAACCTTGAACTCACGGCAATCCTCTTGCCTCAGCCTTCTGATTGCTGGAATTAAAGGAATGCACCACCATGCCTAGCAAAACCAACATCTTGATACTCCCTAAAACCTTCCTTTTTATTTTTTGTAGAATTTAAAAAATTACTTTTTAAATAAAAACATTACATTGAATAACCTGATGTTTCATTACATGCATACATTGTGTAATGTTTAAACCAAGTAAAACATATCTACTTCTTCAAAGAGTTATCTTTTCTTTATAGTAAGAATTATCAACATCCGTTCTCCTAGGCTTTTGAAATATACACTACATTAATGTCATTTTATTTACCCTGCTTACTTTCCTTTTCTGTATAGAGTCTCTTTCTACATGCCTATATCTGAACTAACTTCACATTTTGCAGGTAGCTTACACAATGTTATTTTGACAAAGCCACAGCCTCTCATTTCTGGTTTTCTTTTTCTTTACAAAATTTGATGTCATTGTAGAGTATATCTATATGGCTTTGGTGGAAGCTAAATTTAGACAGGTGCTAATGAACGTAAGATATAAAGATGTAATAGTGACACAAAACAAACTGCTGCAAAACAGCTATCAGAACACAGAAAGCAACCATATCTCATAGAATGACTTAAATAAATAACACAAAATTATCTACAAACTGAATATAATTATCACAATTATATAATCATTTCACTTTTCTCTTAATTTCTGATATCTCACTGGCACAGAGCAAGCATTTAATAACACTTCATGGAAGAAGAAATAACAGTTCAGGAATATTTAGGCACTTGGTACACACTGATAAACCATAATATAATCAATTACAAATAACCCCAGGAAAATATGACACTCATAAAGTTATCTGGAGTGTCACTGCTAACAGTTTGTATTACAGCAACAGTATTAACAACTCCCAGAAACAGTATTAATGAACTAAGTATGGTAAAGGAAAACGTAACATCAACAGAATTCCATTCTGTCATAAAAGTAGAGCTTTTTTTTTTAATCATGACTGGAGAATAAAAATACCACATAGTATAACTATGCAGCACTGCCCTACTAAATACAGTATTTGACCAAAACCTCTAATAAATATTATACAGTTAACAGGAAATGTAAGTGAAAACTGAATGTTGTCTTTAATGTATACAGCACATTCAGGATTTGACAATACAAGGACTAAACAGGATCATCTGAAACCGTGAAATACTTTCTTTACTACTTTCCAATGAATTTCCTAATAGGTAAAAGAGAAGAAGATAGATTAGATAATCTCTAAAGGAAGTTTCTACTCCTATTTCTGATGGCAAGGTATTTGATTACAGAGACTACAAGATACTTAGGAGCATAATACTTTTTATACAGCATACATTGTCCATCTGAATAAAAACAAATGTTCTAACAGCAATTTCCTTTATGTACAGCTTATTTACTCTTGTATTTGGGTCAAAAAACTGGTAAGAATTTTCGTAATTTTAAACATACTTTCATATGTATTAGAAGTTCAATGTTTTCATACAATATATAGCAAATATATTTGTATTTTTCTAAAATAAAAATCATTTTTATAATTATTATTTCAGGCATTTCATTTTTTCTCTTTTAGATACTTATATTTAGAAAATTAGCATAATGTCCTACCTCTAAAAGATAGGGCTCCATTTCATCCAAGGTTTTTCCTAGATGCTTATCTGGATCTAAACCTGCAAAGAAAGGTTAAATTTTTCCATATAACTGTCAGATTGAACTTTAAAGGTACATTCTCCTTTCCCTTCCTTTGGTACCTTGTCACCTAGTTAACTGGTGTGTATATTTTTTTAAGCTGTCTTGATCCTAAATAAAATGTACTTTGGTAGTATTTACATTTCAGTTCTCTTTGGATAACCAATTTTTTTGATCCTGAAAAATAGTAAGTTTCTGCACATTTCAGTTGGACTATATCATTGAGACGCATTGTTTCAATTTCTTTCTTTTAGAGAAATTGTGATTAGGATGGAAAGGCATAAAATTTAAAATTTAAAAATTTGGAGGCAAAACTTCTAGTTTTATAATTGTCTTTACAATAGATCAGCAACAGAAAGTTTGCCCATTAATGTAATGGCTGTTCAAAATTATCATTTCTTGATAAAATTATTTTAAAAACAAATTATGTACTTATTATTATGCATAAGACAGTAGGTATAAGTGGCATACAAATAACTGAATTCTCACATCAATCTAATATGTTTACTTTCAATACATTTTGTTGTTTACTAATTTTCACTGTGGCTAAAGTCTACAGTCTTTATGATGACAATTCCTTAAAATTTGATAGTTTGATAATTAAAATTCTTCCCAAACAAAAAGCACAAAGCCCAGAATCCTATCAAATATTTAAGAAACAAATAACAGTTCTCTAGCATTTTCTTCAGATTTGTGAACCAAAAAGAATATTTCACAACCCATTCTGAGGCCCAAATATAGAAATTATCCAAAAATGACCTACAGAACAGTATCTCTTATGAACACAAATGTAAAAATGTTCAACAAATATTAGTAAATAGAATTTTAAAATGTACAAGGTTATACATTATGACTAATAGTGATTTACCACAGGAATGAAAGGCTAATTCAACATTTGAAAATCAAGTAATGTAATCCACTAAATCAGTAGGCTAAAAATATATTTTAAAAAAACCACATGGTATCAGTAGATGCAGAAAAAGCATTTGACAGAATCCAATACCCAATTGTGATAAAAAACATCTCAGTAAATTAGGAATAAAGGAGGACTTTCTCAATTTGATAAAATATATTAGGAAACTCCTATAGATATCACATTCAGTGGACTGAAAAAGCAGAGAGAATTAAGGCAGTGAAAAATCATTGTGTAATACTACAATGATGGATGTATGTGATTACATACTTGTCCAAATCCACAGAATGTATAAGACCAAGAGTGGTCTTCAGTGTAAACTATGGACTTCTTCTGGTTATAATGCTGTGTTAAAGTGGGGTCACTAGTTGTAACAAATGTACCACATAAGAGAGGAGGCTACAGACATGCACAATGAAGAGATACAGGAAATCTCTGTGTCTTCCCTTAATTTTGCTCTAGACATACTCTAAGAAGTTTTAAACATTTTGGTAAAGTTTCTTTATGCCCTAGTATAGACTCAAATTATAGAAATGTTCAATTTGTGTTTGAATGAGAATGTTATCCCTTGAAATCAAACTTCTGTATACAAACATACAAAATCATGATCATATTTATTAATTTTGCTGTTCAAATCTCCTGTGGTCTTAACGTTGGTCTCCAGGAACCGTTACTTTCTAATGAATGGGAGGAAAATTCTCATTAAGGTTTTAGTTTTAATAATTTATTATAATTTGGTAAATTTTCCTTATATATTTGACAGCTACATTTTGTGTGCGTACCAATTGATGACTTATACAATTTCTTGATGGGACTATTCCTTTATTAAGAAGTAGGAACTTGAGTATCTCCATAACTGAATTTTATCTTGAATTTCATTATTATGTAAAGCCGAAGTATTTATTTTGTTAAAATTTTTCTGATGTATATTTTTCCACCATCAGCTTGATTTTTTTCTGTGCTTTTTTATATTCCTTTAGCAAATGATGTATAATTGGGTGTTTTTGTTTAACAGATCTTAAAAACATAACTCTACCAAACCAAGTTTGATAATTTTAAATTGATCATTATCTGTCTGCATCTGTTTTGATAACATTGGTATATATTAGTATAGTTTTATTAATACAATGTAAATACCTGAGCCTTGACACCTTTATATAGAAAAGAGGTTTATTTTGGCTCACAGTTCTGCAGCTTTAAGATCAAAGGATTGCATCTGGTGATGACCTTTTGCTGGCAGAGTCCCAGGATGGCACAGTGTATGACGAAACAAGTGTGAAGACGCCCATGCATGCATATATATCCTCTGGAATCTCTTTCTTAGTATTCAATCATGGGCTTCCATTCTGATGAATCTGTCTAATATTAATTACTCTGAAAGGCCCTGCCTGTGCACACGCACACTGCAGTCAGACTGTTTCTACCTTAATATCTCATTATGAGGATTAAATTTCAGGACAGAAACCCTTAGAGGACACATCCAAAAAATACACAGATCACACCAGGATAGTACAGACTTCTTATTTTGCTGAACTTCATATTTGTTTTTTATTTTTCCTGCCTCACAGTGTATTGAAAAGGATTTCCATTTGCTTTATTGTCCTGAACTGGAAGCTGAATATTACATTTTTATTCTACTAGTCATCCCCAATTTTAAGCCTCGTTCAAAACCTATTTTTAAGTTTAACTGTATTACGAATCTTTACCATCCTTTTAACTGGCAGAAATTAGCATGTTTTAACTAGTCACTAAAAAGGCTCTGTCAGCTGTTAAGTTTTTGTTCCATCACTTTTACTATGAAACATTAGGCTTGTCAATATCTTTTAGAATGTTTATGCTCACTATTTTGGTTTCTCCTTTGTTCCTCCTTCAGTTCACTTCTAACTAAAGCTCCTTCTTCAAAGATCTGTGAGTAGTATTACTGATCAGTTTTTACATGTCTAGGAATGTCTCTATTTCACACTCACCAGTATCTGGTAGTTTGGTTGTAATTTATTACTATTCTGTTTTTGTTTGTTTGTTTTTAGTAAGAAGTATGCTATCAACTACAGTGGTTCCCATCTAAGGCATTTTTAATTTCTTTATGATACATTATATAGTTTTTACTACGTCCATGACATTTTCTTATTCTAATACAATGTCCAAGTATATATTTTTATTTGTCCTTCATGGCACCTAACATGCACTTTTTTTGTTTTTGGGGGGTACCGAGAACCAACTTGGGACCTTGCACTTGCCAGGCGAGCACCTGTGCCACTGAGCTATATCCCCAGCCCCTTAACATGCACTTTCAATCTTAAAATTCATTTTTTTCTTCCAGTCTAGAAAATTTTAGTCTGTTTTACATTTCCCTTCCTTTTCCAAGTTTTTATTTCCCTGCAGCACAAGCAATGAAGTTTCTCAATGTTTCACCCACATTTTTAAACAATCCTCCCAATTTGTGTTGTCTATTTCCTATGTTGTCTTCTGGGCAAA